AAATTCCTGAGCGGCCATTTAAAAATTTTTTGAGCGGTCATTTAAAAAATTATTTTTAGTTGTGCAAAGATTCGGAATTTTACTAGGGAGCCTGAAAGTGTTTTTTTAAACTTTAAACTTCAATGAAAAAAATAATAATGAAAAAAATACCTTTCCCGAGTCGACCATTCGGTCCGTGATCCGTTCAACTGCTGAAATCAAAGAGCTCCACATTATTTTATTTCTACTCTAAAAATACTTTAAAGGTGATTGAGAAACCATTTCAAACAAAAAAAAACGTGAAAAAGAGTAAAGATTTATTTTAGCTCTTCAAGTTGCATAGTGAAAAAAATACCTTTTTCAAAAAGAAAAAAAGAGCAGAAAAATTATCAAAACGAAGCCTATAAATCACATAAGTTAATAAGATCTAATAAAATAGCGCAACGATGACCAAGAAAAAAGCTTATTCTCTTCTCTGTTCACATTGGTTATGACAGTACCCGAAGCAAACAACATCCATAAGAGAATAACGAAGCGAGCTAATGGTTAATAAAAGCCACGAAACGAAGAAGTTGTTCTGGAAAAACGGCGCTTTACGGCATGAGACGGAGACGTTTTAGACTGGATCACGAATGCCAATTATGGCGTCTATCGGTCGTTCAGCCGAGAAACAAAACGGCAAGATAAAATTCCAATTGAAAAAAGGTGCCGAAAGATGCAAAATCAGAAAAAAAGTAACTATATAATCTTTACTGATTTTTGAGAATCTGAGCTGAGAGGCTGCATGTGAGAAACTTGTAAACAATTTATCAATGAAACTAATAAACCGCCTAAAATGGCACATTTGCTTCAAAAACGCATTTATTCATGTTCGAGAGACCCCTATAAAAGTTCTTCAAAAAGGCAGCTCATTTTGACTTCCATAGTGCGATTTTGAACCAGTTACCAACATGAAGTAGACTGCACTTGGAAGCTTCAAGTTCAACTTCTTCTTTTCAACGTCTCTATGAGCTTAGTACTTTACTTGAGAACTCAGTTTAGCACTTTCACAATGAAGCTTGAAGCTCATGGTGGCTATATATCCAGGCTCGCCTAACTTTTAATTTAAAAAGTTCATAAAAAAACTGCGTTAATAAATGTAATAAGTTAAATGAAAAATGAAAAACGAAAAAAAGAGGGCTAGAAATAAATTTCGAATAATACCAGAAACCGATACATTTCGAAAATTACCGATGTTTTATAAAAAAATTTCTGATTTTCAGAAAAAAATATAATATATAAAAACACACCCTTTGTTCTTCTAGACAACAATCTTCGATTTATACAAAATGGACGAAGTGAGTCAAAAAACGAGTCCAATATAAGCAGAGGCTCCTCTCACAATGGGCACAGAAGATGAGTCACGGTGGCAAAACCACATCCCTACGAAGACTCGTTTTTCCATTATGTATACACGACGTCGTCGTTTTGATTATTTTATGTATCATTGCGTTTTTTTTTCTTCTCACAAACTATACTTTGTTGCAAAATGTATTATTTCTAAAATCTCATTTTTTTTTCATATCAAAAAATCTCAGAGAACCAGAAGAAGAAAGTGAATCTGACGAGAGAAAAGCCGAGTGAAAGAAGAGCGATGCAATCGAGATCAAAGATATTTCTTCTCAATTCGGGACAAAACGAAGTGTGAAGCACGTGGTCACGGTTTAGATCATGCTTAATGAGTGATTTAAAAAAAAATAGTAACTTTATGATTATGTCGTGTTCAAAGTGATTCCACGAAATCCAAAACAACCGTCAGAGAAAGAAAAAGATGAACCAATTTTAGAGACTCAGATATAATTTCGCATTTCGCGGAATTTACTTCAAACACTGAATTAGACCACCAGAGTACTCTAGGGTCTCAATAAAAGCCGTTTCCTTAATTTATAGTCCTGTGCAGAATTCGAATTTGGATATACCGCTCGATAAAATTTACAAAGGAAACAAAGATAAATGAAACAACAAAGATATCCAATTACTTTAACGAAAAGACTTTCTTTGGAAAAAAAACAAAAACGAAAAATCTTCTAACCCATGTTTGAGATCAGAATGAAATCACAAAGAAAACTTTCTACTTTTCGAGTTAGCGAAACTTCATAAAACTTCTAATGAAACAAAATAAATTAATAAAGTTCATTAAAATTTCGGAGAAGCATCAACAATGACGTCAAACAAGGTGCGTCTGGTGCACACCAAAACGCACAGTTACACGCTGAAAAAGTTTTTTGGATTCATTACACTGCCAAAGTCGGAAGTGCGGAAAACGGGTGCAAAAAGGGAGTGACTGCAAAATGGCCGCTAAAAGGGTCCCTTTTTACGGCCTTTATTGAGCCTTTCATTTTTGGTGGGTTAAAAAGGGTCATAAAAGGGCGAAAAAAGGGAGAGGCCGCGAAAAGGGTGAAGAAAGAGTGGGGGTTCAAAAAGGTTCTGAAAGTCTCTGTTATTGATGATTTCCGATGTTATTACTGGAGCTTATTTCGGTTCATACGCAGTCACTTGTAAAGATTATTCTCAATTAAAAAAAAATTGTATTTCTCAAAAGGGTCCAAAAAGGGTGGATGAAGGCCGATGAAAGGACGCAAAAAGGCAGAAAAAAGGAAACCGTTTAGGAACAATTTCCGGAAACAGACGGATCCGTAACGGACGCTCAAAGGGCCCGTGAAGGGTCCTTCCGACTTTGCCTATGTTATATGCTCATAAGCGCGTTTCCTATTCATTTCCTATTCCGATTCACGGTTAACTCGGGATGCTGAGGAGGCGTGGCGTGTCAGCGCTCTCCGCCAACCAGCCGCTATATCTTTTATCATATTTTCAAAACCTTTTTTTGATGGCTCAAGTCAGCCTTGAATCAGCTATATTTACAAATTACAAAAAATGCACGACACGTTGAGTTGAAGAACCCAAAAAGACTGTTTGTATTGATAGGCAAGAACTGTGGACGGTAGCGTCGATGGCGGAAAGCAAAGAGGCGTGAAGGGCGCTCGACTGGTCTACCCCCCGAGGCGTTTTGTCAGAGACACGTTCGTTTCGCGGCTTCTCCCACGATTCTTCTCACTCTATACCGCTCCTCAAACAGCTTATAGCATTAATTGAGCCGACTCAGCTCAATGTAATCCTGGTTGATGAACTAATGTGTATTATTATTGGATTCAATTGAGAAATACATGGTGGAATTTTGCTAAACTCCAGCGAAAAATCATGGTTCGGAAAAAAATCGGTCAACATTTTTCATTTTGGAAACTTTTCTGGAAAAAAAATTTTCTTGTGGAATAATGACGATTTTCACCGTTTTTGAGCTCTACTAAAACGGGGACCCCCGATGGCCTTGATTTTTATTTTCTTAATCGATGTATTGAGGTCTTGGGTGTTCGAAAAGAATATCCCTATATTCAAGTTTTAAGTGTCGTAGTACATCACCATCTCAAAGAACGCGTCCAACTTGAAATTGCCCAAAACTTCGAAAATCCATAACTTCTTTGAGAGTTTGATTTCAGTCGAGTTTTTGTTCTCAATGTACTATAGTTTGTTCAGATTTTGAAAGTCAAGTGCAATGACGTCATTCAAAAACACTCTGTGAGTGGCTCGCTCTCTGATTGGTCTATCGCACCATTATGGGCGGAGCTTGAGCGAAGACTTGACATTCAAAATCTGAACAGACTATACAACCAACTTATTTTCAACTCAGGATAGTAGAAAGTGGGAAACGAAAACTCGCTTTAAAATAAGCTCATTAAAAGTTTTCAAACCTTTTGCCACAAGAAACTTTCGAAAAGGATCTGGAAAAAGTCCAGAAATAGGTGTTTCTGAGCGAATTTTCCCGTTTTTCTTCGAGTTTCAAGTGAATGAGACAGTTTTCCTCAATTTTTACACTTTTAAGCCGTTTTAAGGCTTATTAGGCACAGACTTGTTCTGCGCCATTTGGGTTTAGGCTTTTTCATTGATTTAATGTCTTAACTCTTCGAAAATATTTTCGACCAAAAAAAACCAAACGACCAAAAAGTCGACAAAATCAATTATTTTCGTGGGTTGTTTTGGAGAAATTTTTCGAAGTCTATTGAAAGTCAAGTAACTGATCTGAGGATGCAGCTTGTTAATGAGCTGCTACTTTTTATTTTCGCTTTTGATTTGCTGGAAAGTATGTGGTATTCGTTGAGTAACTGATGAAAAAGTTTTCCTGTAGGCGTCAAGGTTTCAAAATTGTCCATTTTATGCGCTGAATTTTCCTTTGGCATTTTTTGTCTGATAATCCGTTACCAATATATGAAATAAATTTTTTGATATTTACAAGCCTTGTAGATGTCTATTAAAAAGGTATTCTCAGAGGGGCAATCACCAAAACTTTGAAATAGTTAACGACAGTGAGACATTTTGAAAAACAGTCGGGCTCTTTCGCGGTCTTTTATCTTCTGATCGAAATTTTTACGACCACTAGTTGATTAATTTTTTATTAGTTCAAATTCTGTTGCACACATTTTGAACATAAAAAGCCGTCCTAATAGCTTTGCCGTTTTGTCTAAGCTCGGACAAAGAAATAATGCAAAAATTGCAACTTTTTATGCGAATTTTTAAACGGCAAAAAAATTTCGCTCTATTTTTTTGAGAAAAATCTTTTATGTACAATTTAAAAAAACAGACATCTAGCTTCAAAATGATATATAACATTCCAGTATTAAAAAACATTTTTTGTCCTAAACTCCTCGTCAAAGTTGAAACATTAAAAAAAGAAACCCGTTTCTTGACAACCTAATATAAAAGCATGATTAAATGATCCTTCACTTCGTCCTTCTGTGCGTAGTTCATCCAGCTCGGAATATAATGGTTATAGAAGCTGAAGTCCGGAGGCTGTACTCTTGGCGGAAATTTCGAAATGATAGCAACGTCAGCGTCTCGCGTTTATCTCGGCAGTTCTTAGCGCAGGCATTTTGTAGAGAATAACGAAGTTTCGAAGAAATTACATAATATTATGCTTTTTTTTAAAAATTTTATTGCTCGTGAATCATGTCGCGACTTTCTCGAGAAGCTATTTGGGCAGCCGTCGTCGATATTTCACGCATAGGATCGCTTTGTCGAGCTCTTTCAGCCTCCTTCTCGCGATTCATTCGCTCCGCCGACTTTCTCGCCACAATCGCATCGTATTCCTTAACTTGATCCTTTTGAGTTTCGGCAGGTTTTAATGTTCCACTAAGAACTTCAAGCTACCAATCCTTAACTCGAAAGCCTCAAACACATTGCTGAGTTTGGAGCTTTCAAATGACAGTCCCGCGCGCAGGTCTCAAAAACTTTTGCCAAACATTGTACGAAGTACGATGGAAAAAAAATGATGTCAAACTTTGACCTGAAAGCTCCTGTTAGCAACAATAATTACAATAATTTATTAACCATTTTCTGAGTGAAACTCAAAAGGCGGGGCGTAACTTGAATTGAAATTGAAAAAAAGAAAATTTGCGTTGACACGATTTTTAGGTGGTATGAAAAAAAGACCAGCGAAAATTCAAACGGCGACCTTTCCGGTTTTTTCATATCGCTAGGGAACTTTCCGACGGCCTCCTTTCCGACGAATCTTTTTCCAACATTATTTTCTCGATAAACTTCTCGTTTTGAATCTTCCTACATAAAGTAGGTAATTGGTTCATGATTAAAACACAAAGAAATAGGAAAAAAAAAAAGTGTAAATAGATATTTTATAAACCGAAAAATATAAGGGAAAAAAAGTCGGAAAGGGATTCGGCGGAAAGGTGGCCGTCGGAAAGTTCCCTAGCGATATTAAAAAATCGGAAAAGTCGCCTTTTGAAATTGCGCTGGTCTTTTTTTCATTCCACCAATTTTAAATGCGCTGAAATTACTCACCTCTTTGAATTTGTTGTATTGATTCTGTGGAAAACTGAACTTTTTCGAGATCAGGTACTCGATTAGACATCGATGAATGTATAAGTATTGAATATCGTTCTAAAGATTGTCAGAGTGAAAAAAAATGATAGAGTAAAATTCAACCTGAACACATCTAAAACGTTCCTCGCGTAACTTTTTCAGAGCAGTTGCCGAGTCGGAAAAATCTGGTCGTCGGACGCACTGCAAAAAAAAAGGAAAAAATACGAACGAGAAGCGGCCCAAAAACCTCCCAAATGATTTGCAGAAGAGCCATAGTTCCAGTTCGACCTACTCCAGCCGAGCAGTGGTAAATTATAGGTTTACTGAAAAATCGATGATAACGGTAAAGGAAAGATGAATAGAAATTTCTCTAGAAAAAAAAATCTGCTTGGAAATTCCACTATAAAAGTCTTGTATGGCCTGAAATAAGACTGGAAATGACTCCCAATTTTCATGAGCCAATGCTCATTTTTAAGAGCTCATCGGACATTTAAGGAAAAAATAAATTTAACCTGGAATCTCGAACGGCCGCCACCAGCTTCAGCGGAATGGAAAACGATTCTGGGACACCGTGATCTGGCCATTTCGTCCAATGATAATGGGACATTGTTCTCGAATTATCCTTAGTTTTCACTCGAAGCGTTCGCTGGAACACGTCTTTAGCAAACTGCAAAGAAAATCAAGTATGATAGGAAATGTAATGAAAATTTCCACTCACTTCTCGAATTTCTTCATTGACAATCGAGCAAGTGTCGTTAATCTGCAGCACCTCGCTTTTTGACCTTAGAAAATATATTGCAATTTATAGAGTTTCTTGGGATTGCGGCTACGCAAATTAATTATTTTCGCATTTGAATAAAATTGTCTAGCTTCATACGTGTTTCCGTGTCACAAACTTAGGAAAATATTCAAAGGACTTCGTCCGGCCTTTCTCCACTAAGTCGCAAAGCATAACCACATGTTCCGCCTCCTAAAAAGAACTAACTTCAATCGGATTAAAGGCAAAAACAAACAGTTTTGATGATCATCCTCCAAAAGTCGTCTGCTGTGTTCGGCAAAGGCGCTTGAGCGCAGACGAACCGCTGTTTGGCACATCCCGAGCTGAAAATAAAATTAAAGAGGATAAACTCATGGACTGAACTTACCCAACATAGTTGGCGTGAATATAAGTCTGAGGCGGCGGCAACTGAACTCGGGTCTGATCACAGCAAGGCACGTTGCTGTAACGATTCCGGTCGTTGTTTTCCTTGAAAACCGTCGATTTTTCCATTGGGGCCTGGAGAAAGTGTAGTTGTTGTAAATGTTAACAAATATATTCCTTCTCAATTTTTTTTTTGGTAATAAACGTAGCAGGTTCTCAGAATTTATTCGAGTTTAGGAAAAAAGACAGTTTCGAATCGAAATGGGTCCAGACCAACGATAAGAAATTTGAGAATTCGGAAATTTTGGATTCTTGAATTGCTCAAAACCTAACGTTTTCTCACAAAAAAAGTACTAAAACTAACGAAATTAATTTAGGAAAAAAATACAATGAATAATGAACTAATCACAGTTCATGGGTGGTCAGCAAAAATAGGATTTTCAAAAATCACACATAAATCGAACAAGATGAATGTGCATAGTCTGTTCAGATTTCGAATGTAAAGCAGCCAACTCCGCCCCCAAAAATGCTCTCTGGATGGCTGCTCTCTGATTGGTTTGATCTACACATAAGTGGCAGAGTTTGAGAGTTGACTTCGAATCTGAACAGGCTATAATTCGCTTTTTTGAAACTAAAACGCTGGTTGTAATCGTTCAAATAAAATAATTGAGAAATATCTATCAAAAATGTGATGAAACTCATTCTGGAATCACAAACCTCGTTTGGTACATGTCTAAACTCTGACCGAAGTCCGCAAACGCCTTTCTGGAGCACCGAGTGTAGCCAGGCTTTTGTTCGCTTTCTCCTAGATATAAGAGAACAACGTATACCATTGTTGTTTTAAAATTGCGCTCACTTTTCCGCGTCACTCGATTCGGTTCCTTTCGGCTGAAGATTTTTTTCTCATTTTAAATTTCTCTCTATGAAATTCACCTTAGTTGTTTTATCTTCACACTCGCCCACCAATGCGTCAGACTTTTTTTCCAACAGCACCACGCTTTCACCAACTTCTAACGGCATCTCAAATCTTTACCGATTCGAAAATCTAATAAATTCGAATAACAGCGTTATTTTCAGCTTCCGTATCGCCTTCAGAGGTTTTATGTACAGGATTAATGTTTCGTCCGGTTTTCAGCTGCACAGACTCTACGCATTGTGAAGTCGAAGAAGAGCACGATGAAGCTGTTTCTCGTTTAGAGCCATCACGCTTGGGACTTATGAAGTTGACCATTTCGACCTGAACTCTACGACCGGTTGATTAGACATGACAAGAAAAGATTACTTCGGTTGTGAGAGTGCGATCTTTAGGACTATGGCAGATTTCGTAAGACTTTCCAATTTGAAGCATTTCCAGTGCTGACTTCGTTTCTTGAGGCTTTGACTTCGTTGCTACACCCTTCTGCAATGGACTCTGCGCCTTAGCCAAGGCTTGTTTTGTTGATTTCTTCTTCAGCGGCTTCTTGGAGCTGTTAAACTCCTGGGTAGATTCAATGGTACTCAAGCCTTTCATTCTCTGAGAGCGAAAAAAATGTCCGAGACCAATGAAAAACTAGCGTACCGTTATACGCTTCTGACTGCTCTTTTCCCGGTTATCAGTAATTTCCTCCACACTGAAGCTCGCATTCTGCAATTAATGATGTGTTTCGTGTGAGTAGAAGACACAGTTGACAGACTTTTAACCTCGTCGTCCTTCGCTTGGTCACTTTTTTTTTCTCCACTGTAAATTAGAAAATTTTCAAAAATCACTGAAATTCCAGACTTGGTACTCGCTTGGTCATCCCGCCAACTGCAGACGCGCTCTTCTCACTCTGACGAGGCGTTAAATAGGAATGGCTTGTCGCTGTCATTTCAAAGAAGCCTCACGTTTTTTTTTCCAGTTTTGCCAGAGAAAAAAAGTGGAAAGTTCACCTGAATACATTATTATGACATCTTCATATCAAAAAACAAAAACAGTTTTGTGCGAGACGTTCACGTAAAATTTAAAAAAAAAGCTTTAAAGGCATAGGGGCAGTAAAAAATGGGGTTTCGGGTGAAAGAAGTATCTTATATAGTTTTTCTTTGCGAATCGAATGGTGCCCTCAAAAAAATTACAGATGTGACTAATTTTGAAGAAAAACGCGATTTTACTTTCTTGCCATTAATTTTGAAAAAAGCTTTGGATCGGTATGCAGACAACTGTTTACAGTAGTCGTGCACGCGATGTTGCGGACGTCTCATTAGACTCGCATTTTGTCAGAAATAACCGGGTATCTGCTTCAAATTAAGGGTTTCTTCTCTGAAAAATCGATTAAGAAAACAGAAAACACACATTGATAATAAAGAAAACACAAATAATCGCTATCCCAATCGAAACCTGTGTAAAATCATCAATGTTCACCAGAAAAGCATTTTTGCAATCAAAGTTTGCAAATTATACATGAATAGAAAGCTGTTGTGACGAAAAGAACTTTGGTGACAACAGAAAAAATTGAAAATTGAAAGAAACGAAGAAAAAAGCGAAAATCCGGAAGATGGCGAAGCCTGTTGTCCATAGAGCAAATTTACTGCAAAGCGCCCTTTTGCGGGAACTCAAACTTTCCTCTCTCCGACTTTCAATTCAATTCAATTTGTTATTTTTTGAATTATTTTGACTTTGAATTATTTTTTCTTCAAAACTAGGAACTTTTGTACGTTTCCAAGTTCACCGTTCGATTCGCAATGAAAAGCTCTACAAAGTACTGCTTTGAACTGATACACCGTTTTTTACTGCCCCTATGCCTTTAAAAAAAGCTACAGCTGCAAAAATGACAGCAAAAGAAAAAAACAAAAAAACTTGAAGAACTTTGCTCCAAATTTCAAAAAGGACCGCTTTTTTGATATAACAGCTGATACTCGAGTACGAGTACTCGTTTCGACCATTCTTCTTGAAATTCCAAGCCAGGACGACCTGGAAGGGATGCTCCACCCCATTTTTTGACTTTTTCTCTTATCATAGGTAAAACGGAAAAGTTCCTTTGAGGATCCTTAAAGGATCCTGAGAGGGAGATAAAAAGCTTCCTCTAAAAGCTCCTAAAATGATGTAAAAAAGCTTTTGAGTACCTTTTTCATAGCCTCAGAGGATCCTTTTTGAATCCTCTTGAATCTTTTTAGTTGCTTTCCAGCATCCTTTTTGTCAGAGGATATGAAAAAGATGCAAAAAAGAATTGAAATGATGTAAAAAAGATCTGCTGGGGACCCTTTCAAGGTCTTTTTTTAAGAAAAGCTTTTGGGGAGCTTTTCAGTTTTGCCCGAGATTTCTTATAGCCTCAGAGGATCCTTTTTGAATCCGCTCGAATCTTTTTAGTTGCTTTCCAGCACCCTTTTTGTTAGAGGATGTGAAAAAGATGCAAAAAAGAATTGAAATGATGTAAAAAAGATCTGCTGGGGACCCTTTCAAGCTCTTTTTTTGAGAAAAACTGTGGGGAGCTTTTCTCAAAAAAAGACCTTGAAAGGGTCCCCAGCAGATCTTTTTTACATCATTTCAATTCTTTTTTGCATCTTTTTCACATCCGCTGACAAAAAGGATGCTGGAAAGCAACTAAAAAGATCCGAGAGGATTCAAAAAGGATCCTCTGAGGCTATGAAAAAGGTGCTCAAAAGCTTTTTTACATCATTTTAGGAGCTTTTAGAGGAAGCTGTTTATCTCCCTCTCAGGATCTTTTAAGGATCCTCAAAGGAACTTTTCCGTTTTACCTATGTATAGTGCTGAATGGTATACCGCAAGTCTATCGCATTTTTCTATAATTTTTCATGGTATAATAAATGATGATGATGATGATGATGTATAACCGTGGTACCATCGTTAGGCTTCCGACCCTTCGATATACTACTGGCCCTATCGCGATACCCCTGCCCGATTCGTGTGTGAATTTTCCTGTTCAACATATTTTGGTCAATGCGGAGATCCGCGCGATCAGTATGATGCTCTTTCAGCGTCAATGCATAGCGATAATCGGAGTAGGGTTAGATTGAAAGGCCGCCATTTCGCCAAAACTGAACATTAGGAAGACATCTCTATAGAACATATTCTACATTGTTAAAAGATGTCCTATTAGATAAAAATAAGCGGAGGCTTCATAATTAAACAACAAAATAAAAAAGTTACAGCATTTGGAAAGTCCGTTCCATATTCAATGACACCCCTGTAGTATATACTAGTTTTGTGGGTGAACGACTGACTTTTCCAGCATGTCTATTTTTATCCTACTGTAGTTGTGTGTCGCGCCGCCGTAGTGCGTGCATGAAGCTGGGAAAATTTTTGTTTACGTTTTTGTTTACTGCTCAAAGATCTGTTTTTCCATCGCTTTCCCTATTGATTTTGGAGTTTCTCTTTCCTTATATATTTGCCAGAAATTTTCTGAAATGTTTTTCATTTTATTGAATTTTCTTTTTCTTAAATTACGTTTTCATCTTCAAGAGAAAAACCTTCAATTTTTAGAAAATGGCCGCGAGCGGTGGCGGTACAGCTTTAATGGATCGGTATTTCACTTCTGAGAATCAAGACCAAAGAGTCGCCATGCAATTTGCTTTTTACAACGTCCTACTTTTCGTCTTGGTATTTTAGTCTAATAGTAAATTAGAACGATTGACTAATAATTGAATTCAGCTCGGCGTATCTCTATGCGGCCTTTTTGCCTTATACAATATGTTGTACATGTTTCTAACTCCAATGTTATGGGCAGTTCTTGTTGGTACAGTACTGTTTCCCTTCAAAAAGCGAGTGACGGAAATAATGCAAAGTTTGATCTATTTTATAAACCTGATAAATGTGACTATTTTTCCAGATTGGCTGAAAGGCCTGCAATCGAAGAACACAACATTAGTTCGCGGGATCATAAATTTGCCGGTTAACTGGTTCTGTCGAACTTCTGAATGCCTATATACAACCGCAGCGAGGTATTTTTCTTGTTTATTTTTTCATAAAATTCATTTTCTCAGTTCCGACGGAATTTACATCGCTGGAGCCTATGTTGTTCTGAAGTTTCTGAGCTATGAACGGACATTTATGCATGCTATCAGTTTTGCTGGTAGAATCTATAATGGTGTCGACGCTTTCATTCTTTTGTCTGCGAAACCTTGGGTATTTTTTCAAAGATTTATTGTGGCAGTATTGAAAGAAAATCTTAAAATAGGCTTTCAAATCAAGGCAGTAATGAAATAGGGAACTAATTAATCAGAAGCGACCTTGGGGCTCCCATGTAGGAGATCAAAATGCAGCTATCAAAAAACGCCTAATTGATCATCTTAACTCAGCTTCGAGAAACATTACTCAACTTTTCGCTTAGACATTTAATGTAAAAGTATTTGCTCTAGAAGTTTTTTTTCCCCCTAAACAATTTTAAAAATTGAAATTTATTTTTGATGGAAAGTTTTTGAAATCTTAAGAAAAAAACGTTTCATCCGCTTTGAAGTTTTCCTCTCCAAGAAAATAAACTTTTAAAAATTTCCTGTTTTAGGATAATCTCAAAATTTTGCAGGTTTTCCCGTTAATTGTGATTTACTCTGCTGCCTACGCAGGCTGGATCTACGTTCAGATGCCGAAACCGATCAACAAAAAGCTGCTTCGAACGCTTTCGCTACCAATTTGGTGAATTCCCCATCTTATTAAAAGTGAGAATAAAGTTTTTTCAGGTATTATGTAATTTCCTACGCCTCATCGTTCTTCGGGCCGTTCAGAGCGGCCGCTTTTGGAATTTCGACTGTTGTTCTGGCTCTTCTTTCCGCGGGCGTCGTTGCCGTTGATAACAACGGGAGCTTTAAAAGTGATAGTGACGGTTAGTTTATTATAAATTTAAAAAAATATGAAGTTAAATAGTTGATTGCAGCTGATGATAACGAAAAGGAGAAGAATGAGGTGGAGAAAACGGCCCCAGTCGCTGAGCCAATGTTCAAATTCGAAACGATTACCGATGAGAATGGAGATTCGGTCGCTGCGATTCGAGCTCCATGTAGGATTTCGAAGTTTTTTTATCAAAAAAATAAATAAAAAACCTGAGGAAAAAAGCAAAATTTCAACGATTTCATTTCTTGAAGTTTTTTCACCTAACAGTAAATAGTAAAAATTTCACCTAACTTAAAAAAATAGTAAAAAAAGTTTTTGCGGTTTTATTTGTGTTCATATGGATTATCAACCAGAATCCAGAGAAAACGCATTGGAAACCAACCAAAAAATCAATTTGACAACAGAAATAATTATTAATCAACTGACTCTAGTGTTTTCTATTTCCCCATTTTTTTTTGTTTAGGCGCAGACTTGTTCTGCGCCATTTGGGTTTTTAGTTTTGACTTTTTTTCCAAATTGGATAATTTTTTTCGTATTTTTTTGAAATGATATTCTTGTGAAAAAGCTTGAAGGGGGTGTGACAGTCGGCTGAAAAATGCTCATAGAATATGTTTTCTACCTATAGGTTCCGAGGCAAAGCGCCGGTTTAAAAGATTTCCTTGTAGTTTCTGCCCCTTTTCACAAAATTTGAGCATTAATGCATTCATTGGTAAAAAAAAATAGAAAATGAAGTTCATCCCTTATTATTCTTTCATCTGCAGCCATGGAATCGCTTGTTCTGGACGAGGCAATCACTGGAGATCGGCTTATTCGGATCGTTTTTAGCCTTTGCGCTTTGCTTTGGGTCGTACGTCATGACAGCGCCCTCATTTTATTAGCGATTCCTCTCTTCATCGCGGTCGTAGCTAGGATTGGTTTGGAAATAAGTTCTGCATTCACAATGAAGATTGGTATAATTTTAGCCAACAACGTCGGTTTAACTGATGCGCTGACCAATGCATTGGACTCCCTCTGGCAGCGTTTCTCACCGGCAGTCAACAAGTTGGTCGAAATTACCGTGGCCGGACCTCTGAGAGAGTTTGTCAAGGCATTGAAAAGAACGATGTTCCTGAATAAATAAGAGTTTTCCAGGTTCTTTTCACCTCGGACCAAATGATCACGACGTCGCTCCACGACAAGATGGATATGCTCTCTTCGGTGGTCGTTATGGCTTTACTCGCCTGTTCCGTCCTTTTTGGCTTTGTCTTCATCGGCTTTCAGCTCCACGGAGAGACTGTTCGTCTTGTTGCCATAAAAAAACTTTAAAAAAATTATGTTTAAATTTTCGAAAGATATTTTCACGGAGAGCTTTTCGAGTTCCAAAAAACTGAATAAGAGAGGCCCCTTCATCATTAATTTATTCAGCAGTAAATGGACTTTTTCTAAAGGCTTTTAAGCTTTCTATCATAAAAGTCTGAAAAAGGTAATGAAAAAAAAGAAGTGGTCTATAAAACAACTCAATTTTTGAATTCAACTCGTTTTCTTTTGTTCATTCGTTCACTTAAGCTAGGACATTGTATGGTTTTTTTATTTGAGTTTTTTTTAAATTATTTAATTGACTGAAAAAAATTTCTAAGACTTTTTAAGGTCCACCTCGTGCGCTTGACTTCGAATGTTGTCAGCTCGCGACCAGATTGGCTCGGCGCAGCTATGAATTATACTGAAGATCAACTGGAAGATCACGATATCGACATCGACGCCTATGTGCAACAGGTCTCATCACGAAAAATGCAGAAATGATAATATTGGAAATTCCCAGGCCTATGAACAGGGAAGAGCATGGTTGGCGTCGAATGTCCGCAACTTATCCAATGGCAAGGACTCCAAACGGGCCGATATGCTTGAAAATCAAGTGAAACAGGTTTTTTTGGAAAAAAAGATCGAGCAAAAAAAGATGAAATTGAATTTAGATTGTCGACAACTTGTACCATTTATGGGAGCAGCGCAATGTTGTTACTAAGAGTAAATTTCTAATACGAAAAATATCATTAATAATTTTCTAACAGATGCTTCAACGACGGATATCGCGAGAGCTGGTTGGATGACTCAGCTGAAAAGTGTCACGGATCTTGCCGCGCTAAAGGAAGAACTCACCTTGATTGTCAAAGATAACTTGGATACTCTTATGGGGGTGAGAATTTAACTTTCGTTCTGGAAAATCAGAAGCAAAGTGTTTGAACATAAGATGAGATACGTACGAATAAAAATTGGTAAGGGATCAGTTCTAAGAGTTGAAAATTGTATTGAAATATATATGTTAGTAAAATATTTTACTTTTTTTATCGTTTTTGTTTTTAACGTAGAAAAAAACGCTTTTAGCAACAAAAAAATGACGCGTTTTTTTGAGGGGAAGTGGGGGTGGCTCTGCGGTCCCTAATATAATAATCTAAAAAGTCAGTTGTTTTGAAATTTTGAGTGTTTTTCTCAAGAGACCTAGCATTTTGAGATTATTCAACTGCTTTTTTTTTGATATTTTTTTTTATTTTCCAGGTCGCGCAGTCAGTTGGAGCAATCCTTGCCGCCAATCTGACATTTTTCTCTTCGATTCTGGCCGCTTTTGCTGGAATTATTCTGGGATTCGGTCTTGATATCGTCAATCTTCTCATAGAGATTGTGAGTAGGAATTTCACTTCAAGACATGATTAGTGTTCATTTTCATTTTTTTTGAATCAAAAATAAATACGGTTCAGATTGTGTTCCTGACCATGGTGTACTACCTTCTGTCTGCTTCTAGAACCAGATGGCTGCCCCTTCAGTGGGCCAGCGATTTGTCGGCTGTGACCAGCATGGCCGAACTCAACCCCGGCGTCGCCGACAAGCACCACATCACTGCCGCCATCGAACACGCAATATTGTTCGTCTCCATAGAGCGCATCTCATCAATACGATCAATATTTACAGCGGCGTTTTTGTCCTCTCTGCAAAAATGTCGGTTTTTTACGGCCTGTACACTTATTTTGTGCACAGCTTGTTCGACCTCAACATTGTTTTCGTCCCCTCATGTGAGTTTGACCGTTTTTGGATTTTTGAGATCTAGGAGGTTTTCTGAAAAAAATTGAGTGAGAGCTAAAACAAATTCATTCATACATCTTGAGGCTCTTAACTAATTTTAACTGTTAAGTTAAAAATTTCAATGATCATTATCAAAAACTATACAATTTCTGCTGGAAGTCATACAATGGAAAATTTTTTTTCATAAAACCTTTCTTTTCTATCTCACTGCGAGCATTGGAGGCCGTGCCACGCTAAGCTATCTGGCGGCCTCGGCCTCCTCCGCTCGCAGCTGCTTCCGTGGCGCAATAGGCAGCGCGTTCGGCTGTTAACCGAAAGGTTGGTGGTTCGAGCCCACCCGGGAGCGAGACATTTTTTCGATTTGCAATTTTTTTTTAGTCATTGCCTCGTTGTTCGCTGCGATTCCCATCATGCCGCCATACATTGTGGCTATTTTTGGAGTTTTTGAGCTCTGGCTGGTTAGTTTTCTCTTTTAAAAAAAAAGGACAAAATTTCTCATTTTAGGTTAGAGGAGAAGGAGCCGCTGCACTTGTTTTTGCACTGGCGTCAGTTTCTCCAATCATGTATGTTGATAAGACGTTCTACACTGAAGTCAAGTTTGTTTTAAATTGGGATTGAGATAATTCGAAATTTGGTTCCAGAGGGTCTCATCCATATGTCACGGGTCTCTCCATCATCGGAGGAATGTACTGGTTGGGTCTTCAGGTAAGAAAAAATTAGAAAAATTCTTTATTAGTTAAAAAAGTCCGAAATTAGAGCCAAGAATATTTGAAGAAAGTCTAGTACATATTTTTAGAAATTAGAAGTTTGTACCTGAAGATGGATAGCATGAACCTCAAAAAAAAATTTCCGATTGGGTTCTGGAGGTTTTAATAATTCACTCAAAAACACTTCATTTTACATGTTGGATCAAAGTCAATTCTAATTTTTGAGGACAGATTTATAATTTTTATGCTCCTTTCTGCATGAAAGCCTTAATCTTCAAAGTTTAGGGAGCTATCATAGGGCCGATCGTTTTGTGCCTATTTCTCGTGCTGGTCAACGTCTACCTTCAATTTGTGAAGCCGACTGCCACTTCCACCACTCCACGGGCTCTCACTCCGGCTCCTTCACACCCAATTCTCAAGAAAATTGAATAAAATGAAATTTTTCTAGCGATTTCACGTAAATAGTTGACGTTAGCTGTACTTTTTGTTAGTTGAAACTCTTTTTTTTGTCCTTTGCCCATGTCACAGCATTACCTTGATATTGCCATTCATATTTTCCTCGGTATTTCGGATTTCCCGGTGCTTTACTCCTCGGTTGTCTACTTCGCAGTGTTAATTTCTGTATTTGTTCGTTTTTTCCATTAGTTTTTAAGATAATGTATATAGTTTCGAGCATTTGGAATAAATTTTATGAATTATTTTTCATTCTTTCCTTTATTGCATATTTTTTAGCAATGGTATTTTTGAATTCTTGAAATTTTCGGCAGAGAAAGAAACAAGGTAATTTGATATGTGATAAATTATTCTATTTTCTCATGCCGTGTTCGAAGTAATTCGCGAAAATAGCTCTCTGAGAAAGAAAGAGATAGCTAAAACTTGGAAAGTCAGAGATAACTTCGCATTTCGCGAAAATCACTACGAACACGGCACAGTAATTGAAAGATGTTATTAATTCAGCCGAAGTTCCTACTCTTCAGTTGAAGTAAAACAAAAAGGCATCGCAAAAAACTTTTCTAAGATTGTTTAATCTTTCACTGATTAGATATCAGTTCGAATAGATTCTTAGAAAGAAAGAAACTTCTTCTTATCGATGTCTTTCGACGAGGTCAGTTTTATTACTTTTCATTTTCTCCTTTTTAGGTCGAAGCGGATTCGAGTAGAGGTACGGATAAATTTCAAAAAATTTCGATATTTTCTCGAAATAGGAGCTTTACATTGTAGTTACAAGGCGCCTAAAACCAAGGACGATTCAAGTCTAAAAAGATTTTGGCGGTAGTATGTTTAAGATGACAGTAGAGTTTCTCGAAAAAAAAAAAATAGGGAGTTTTCGTTAGGATCACTTCTGGCAAATTTTCATTTGTTCGAAAAAATTAGCTTTTTTTTTGCTAAAGTTTTGTTAAAAAGTTTGCTGGTTTTTTAAAGGCATAAGAGTCTTTCTAGCCTTGGAACAACAAGTTCTTCGCCTAAAAGCTTCTGCAACTCCTCAAAACTTTTTGAAAAGTCCATACTCTTCAAAATCTTCGCATCTATGTCCTATATTCGTGTAGAGACCGAAATTCTAAAAAAAATTTAGATTAAAGGCAAAAAATCAAACGCCAAATGGACTTTTGACGTCGTTGAGACGGAAAATTTTCGTCGGCCGTCTGCGTTTTCGAACAAGTTTCCCATTAGACGCGTTTTTTCGACCGACGGCCACTCAGACTCTTTCTTCTTCGTGGACACTTCTATTCTTCCCTTTTTTAATTTACATGAAGTCTCATCTCTACATATGACCTTTTGTTTTCAGTTTACTTGGATAACAACAAAAAAAGAAAAAAAAGGAAAAAGAAAAAGGGCATTTGGTAAAAATGAAGGAACTACAGACGCCAAGGTCAGTTCTCCACCTTAATTTTTTTGTTCTCAATTTTTTTCTGGTCATTTCTAATTGACTTGAATTTTTTTTCTTTTCGTTTTGATTATATTATTTTTTTGCGCCTACAGGAAACTACCGCTAGATAGGACGATGCAGACTTGAAATATTATTTTTCTTCTTACTAGGCTTTTTGTGACACCTCATGACTGTTAAAATGGTCTTTAGGTATGAAAAATGATGAATTAAACAGAAAGGACTTTTTTTGAATTTTTTTCTTTTCAAAAATCACGATGAAGTTAGGTTTTTCAACAGTGTATACATTATCCACGGATCTCGCTTCTCGAAAATAATATCTGTTGAAAAAAAAAAATACTCGCTGGGGTTTTTGAAGGAGAACGTGCCGATTCCATTAGGAATCTGTTTTGCGTAGTTCGAATTTTATGAGCCATTAATTTTTCTTAAAACTTCTTCTTTTTTGTCCTCAATCTTCAATTATCTCAATGCCCTTTGTTTAACAGTTTTCGCGGATTATTTCGATTAGATCGCATGATTGTTTAAAAATATTCGAAAAAGAAACTTATTAATGAACCACAGTTCAACCAAAGTCCATTATTTCCTTGCCTAAAAACGTTAGCCATCACTCTCGGTTTATCGCAGTTTTTCGCTGTCGAAAAGCGGGCCAAGTAGGAGTTTTTATCAACTGGGTCACGCTCTAGAACTTTTCCCCTTCATTTCTTTGCTTCAGCTAAGGGCCTCGTTGGCTTTTCTCTTTTTCACAGTAATTGGACTCTTTTCCATCAATATTCACGCTTTTGAATTGTAATTGAGCTTTCGAAATTTTGTTATTTTTTCATGAATCTCCTAGATTCATAAAACGACATTAATTTTAGAAAATTGTGCAAATGGTCCATCTTCTAAGAAAAAAAAATGTTTTAAAAATCATCAAACCTTTGGAAAAGTCCCGGAAACCTTTATAATCATTCTCCCAAATATTTGCTATCATGTTTTGTTGACCACAAGCTTTGCAGAAAGAAAAAAAAAAAACAATTTTCGGTTTAGTGATCGCTAGTGATAATCATTTAGAGATTAGTTTTGCAGTCGTCCAGAAAATGATGGGAAAACATTAGAAATATGATTTGTAGGTTTTTTGATTGGTTTTCTGAAAAAAAATTTCCCCTTCGAAGGTGAGCTCAAATTTTCATGAGATCAGCGATTTGCGAATTTTTTTTTTTTGAAACTTTCTTGACGCTCAAATAGGAGAGTTCCAAAAAAAAGAATTCATTCATATCTGCTCTCGTTGATTTGTCCGCCGGACAAGCTTCATCAATCATTGGGAGCATTTCGAGGACGAAAGTGAGCCCAAAAATTTCCTCGTTTCTGCTCTCGCCATAAATTTCACGAGATAAGCGTTTTCAGACTGTTTCACATGTCAAAATTTCATCGTATGATGAATTTACGTGTCAAAATAAAAATTCTGAATGTCAAACGTTTATTCAGGTTTTTTCTTAGGCTAAAATAAGAAAATAATCTCAGTTTTCCAACATCTTTTTTTCTTCCTGTCCTCAATTTTTGGTCGTATCAAATTGGATTGCACTCTATGTTTTTTTGGTCGTCACTTCTTATATGACAGAAAAGTTCGACATCTATCAACAATTCATTTTTGATTTGGACTCAATTTTCTCGAATAGCCAAGTGTATATTTTGTGAATGTATATACTTGATTCGAGAAAAATCAGAATGTGAATTTTCTCATCTTACGAATACAGAAAGGGTTGGTAGTGATAGGGGCTTTAAATTAGAAAATTCAGATTTAAGATAAAAAATTCCAAAAACCTCGAAGTATTGGCTTACATTTTTCTTTTTTTTTTTGAACCCATTCACGGTTGAATTTTCAAGATTCGACCTCGGATTTCGACTTTTCTTTTGGTCTTTATAACAATGTTAAAACCAAACAACACGGGCTCACTTTTTCAGTTGTTTGTGTGCTCATTGTGGTTTCTTTCGGCTCGTGGAACATTTAACGCTGAGTAACTGCAAAAACAAGGACAGGGGCTGTTTTCTTTCATTTTTTTTTTTTGAGCAATTGAAGAAGCTTCTTTAAAATTTAGTAGAGAACCGTGAGAAAAACTATCTGAGGTTGTTTTCAAGGAGCATGGGCGGATTAAAGAAAGTTCTCGACCCGAAAAATAGTTTTAACCTCTATTTTATGGCACATACGCCTCCAAACTCTTCATCTTCGAAGATACCAATGAAAAAAATTTTTTTAAATATTGTATCCCGTTCTTCTATCAGTAGTAATGTCACGCTCATAAATGTTTTCGCCCTATCAAAAAACGAAGTTGTTTTCTGGAAAGAACTCTGAAACCTTCACATTTTCCTCTCCCTCTTACTTTTCGTTCGTTTTACTTTTTTTTTGGCGAAGCGGTTGTGCAAAGCTTTGCCTGAATCAAATTAGCCAACACATTCGCCATGTTTCGCGAGCTTTTGACATTTTTTGCGCATGCTTTTTGGTTTCAGCCTTTTTTTAACTTACCATTTAGTTGATTCATGTGCAACTGAACTTCGGAAGATCTCAGAAAGATTTTTTTTTCGAAAAAAAAATTTACTTCAAAATTTTAAGAATGATAAACATTTCATTGGTTACAGTGGTAGTCATCTATTTTTCTCAAAAGTTTCGCTTTAAGTATACAAACAACGTTCAAAAAAAAAAAAATTGCAGAAGGCTTTTGGAAGACATCCTATAGTTTACAATATATTGTTATATTTTACCTATTGTTGGGTCAGAGATTCTCTGTTCTCTAACAAGAACAGATATCGATAAACTGGAAACATTTTAAAAACAATGTACCTGAAGGCTTCTCCTTAAAATGAATTACAAAGAAAGGCTTCAACGTCTTGGACTAAATACCCTTTGGCAAAAACGGTTGAAGAAAGAAATAACTGCTGTTCAAAATTTCATTAACGGATACTGTTGCTGCTTATCTCCAATTTCTTTAAAAAATGCTAAAAGTAGATCGAATCAAAAAAAAATAACAAAAATACGAGGAAATGGTCTCAAAATAGAGTGGCCTCTACTTACTGACTAACAATACCGTTTCATTTATCAAAGAGATCTCAATCAATAGAATCAAATGGATAGAAACATAGTACTTGTGTATAAAAAAAAATTAAGTTCAGATCTGAACTTGAGAAATGGCTTGAAAATTCTCCATCGCCACAAGTTCCGTACACATATTTTCCCACATTTTTCCTGCATCTATTTCGTCAATTTTAGTAGTTGTGTGTGAGAAATAAAAAGCCCTCAAATAAGACGGGAAAATTTTGAAGGATCACACAAGACTTGATCTCGATAATTTCCGTGAAATGAACTTTGAGAAGCGAGATATGTCGAAGAAAAAAGTCATGTGGAACGGGCACACTGAACAAAAGCACGGAATGTGATTTTCGTATAGGTTCTCCTCGGGAGTCGGAGAGCGAATGTCATGAGGGCCGAAATTGCCCCGTTGGCGATTCCCATCTGATATTTCTCACTCAGTTGCTTCCTCACGAGTTCCTACTTCTTTTCCTCATTTTCTCCATT